GAGGCTAGCATTGATATGGTGTGTTCGTAATCAGCCACTAGGGACTTGAGACTTAAGTCTTTTCTTTCTCTGTGAAGTCAGCAGTGAGAGGAGCCAATTTTGTTAGCAGAATTTCCATATCAGTTTGCTAAAAGAATTTAAAAAGTTATTAATAATTATTCTATTAGTTCAATTTTTGAGCCTCAGGATGTTACAGRTGTAACATTCTTTAAAAAAGTCATACATAATTAATGAGATATCAGGCCAATTGAATGAGCCTATTTGGTCACATGCATGGACCTTTATATCTGATATACATGTAACACCCCTTATTTAGTATCCTTTATGTAGTTTAAAACATGAGAGAGTGACATCCTGCATTAGTCAATTAAGAGGCATCATTTCTCCATGAATCCTAACGTATTTGAGTTTCAAATTAGTGTTGGAGTTTTTTTAAACCATTTAAACACTTGAGATTGAGAATGATTGGAATGACCTTCGGCTCGGATCTTTATACTTGACAAAACACTCTCTCCAATGTTTTAAACTATACTTAAAGAACAGACAATGAATTGGTATTCATCCTTATTAAAAAAATTCTCTTCTCTTTCACTACATTATATTTCTAAGTTACCAGGGTTACTTATAAGTTGGCTGATTTTGCACTAGAGGGGTACTCCTCTCTTACTATACAGTGATGTTCATGTTCTTTTTTATTCTTACTGTGTCTTATACAGGGAATATGCCTGATGCTTTGTAGTATGAGTAAAATGTACCAAAAAATATGTACACAATTTTGAATCACTTACGGTAAAGTAAACATCCAAAAAAATCACCTCTTGCCAGAAATTTGCATTTTAATAACCCCTTGTATAAGAACCTCTTTGGCCAAACATTATCAAGCAGGTTCTTATAATATGGATAATATAAATTATAGGATAGAGAAACCACAAGTTACTGATACAATTTAGTTGTGTGTGTAACAGAAATAAAAGATAATTTACACAAAATGCTTAATAGAACAAAAGCATTACAAGCACTATTATCCTCTATAGCTAGCACCATTTAGTATTGAATGAAGTAATGTAGCACTGACAAAGCAATAAAGACATTCAATCTTTTAGAAAACAGTGCTTTACAGTATTAAGAACCCGTTTTGTCAAAATTACCAACAACTACCCCTTAAAACAAACACCTTTTTTGCCAGACTTTCAAAAAACGAGCTTCTTATTTTCAGGTGTTTACTGTAGTTCTTCAATAAAATTTCAAAGTTTCGGCTTGAAAAGAACTGAAAAAGTTAACAGATAACTCGGCGTTTGATCAATTTAGGAATTAAAAGACACCAGTCAGACTTGTATAAAGAACAAAAACATTGCTGGAAAAGCAATATAGTCTTGTTCAGTTTGCTGATGTTGAATATGAAGTGAAGTGACTCCTTTGTTTATTACACGAAATTGTACAACAGGCATTAGGCTGGTTTACATGTATGATGTGGTTTTAAAGGGCTACTTGGACGAAAATTGTGAATCGCTAGAAAAGACTTGGAAATCAAATAGACCTATCCATATGGCTCTAATAATCATGAAGCAACAGATTTCAAGAAGATATTGATACAAATCCTTGATAATTTGGACAAAAATCTTGGAGTAGATGATGTCATTTACTCCATCCTTTTGTTCTTCCATCTTCTGAATCAAAATTTATCTGATGTGGGATAATTCCAAAAAAAAATATTTTCCCGTAATTGTTTTTAATAGATATCAATAAGTCATATACTTGTATTGCTTGAAGTTTTGAAATAAGGCCATTTTCATGCAAATAGCACTTAAAAAAAAATATATAAAAGAGAAAATCTTATACACTATATATCTACTATATATCATATGCAATGAGCATCTAAAAAGTTCATGTCACACATCTAGATATAACTCAAACTGAAAAAGATCAGCTAAAATGTTTAACCTTACCTCATCACCATTGCTTGTGGTGCTGCTTGTATCTGAATCCTTTTAATGACAAACAAAAAAAACATGTCATAAAAGCAAGGGTCCTTTAAAATTGACTTTAAATGTTGGGTATGAAATTAACTTGAACACATACCTCTCCCTGCATATCGTCGTCAGATGAATCACCAGCAGAGTCCATCGTGGCTTCAGCCTATAAAAAAATCAATCGATTTCCATCAATTTGGCGTTAGTTTTGATACTGCCCCTGATTAAAATAGGTTCATGAATCTTATGTCCATAGCCGTCTTCTTTATTATTATTTGCCATAATATGTGACTATGTTCAAAGCTTTTGAGCCTCGCTCAACACCATTTTACAACATTCAAAAAAATATTGTGTCTACTCTGTGTGTGACAAGCAAAAACTTTTAAAATCCTACGACAGTAACAGAGAAAAACGAGCAAATTTCGCTACTATGTGGGAGACAGTGGGGTGACTGTGGGGGAGGCTGTATTGTATTTTGAATTTCCAAATGGCGGCGACTAAGAGTATTAAAACTTCACAGGCGAGGAACTAGAGCATTTAAATACTTCATGGAGCACTGAGGAGATGCCTTTCAATTGTAGGCACAACGACTACTTTTAAAAAACGCTAAGAGTGCTGCAATTCAGCGATTATTGTGAAAGTTTGAACAATGGAGTCGCGCGCGTTAGGCGATAGGCGTGAAGCGAGCTGGTTGCGTGCAATGGCTGCAAGCAAAAGTTGTACCGTCTAAATCGCTATTAATGTTGAGAGTGTTTGCGCAAAGCTTATTTACAGCAAGTCGACTTCACGAATGTGCTGAACGTGACGCCAAACAGTTCGGTGAACATAGAGACGAAAACAAAAAGCTACTTACACTACTAAAGTTTGCTGCCTCCATTAGTCCATTGTATAGACACTTTTGCTTTCCCTAGCCGTTATATTAAACAAAACAAAAACAAGTATTGAAACTCCGCAGTATGCAAACCCCGCGTGCTTTCAGCTTTCAGAAAGGCTTGGTGTCACAGTTCAGATTGGTAGGAACATGACGTCATTGTATGATTCCTACGATTTTACTACTGCCCATATAAGGAAGTCAAAAAATAGAGTAACTTATTTATTGATATCAAGATACGTCCGATAATAAAGTTTATTAGTAAGCAAGAGCTGGTTGCGAGAGTATCCGCAATCGGAGCAAAACATTCCTGTTAGCTTAGAAGCCGTAGTAATTGCAAAATAAACTGAAGAACGCACACATCTCTTGTTGACTGCAGAAGGTACTCTTCCCGATCCCAGTGACCTGAAAGATGGGTGGTGTAACGAATATAATGGGATAACAAAATGGCCACTCATAACATATGTAATGAAAGACTACCCAGGAAATGATATCTCCTTGCAAAGACGTCTTTTAAATGAATATAAAGAGGGATAGGCTTTCCGCTTATACGACGGCGGCTGGTTAAAGGAAGTCCATTTTCATCCAATAAACGAAAGTTCAAATTACTGCTTCATGAGAGCACAATGCACCCCGTCTATGAAATTAAATGACGTACCTCATTCAGTGTGGATTTGTCCACAGAAAACTGGGGAGATTCACAGCTGCTTTTGTACTTGTACAGCAGGGAAAGGATATTCTTCTATTTTACTCACATTCGAATCAATTACTGTAATAATAGCCATTGATAAAAACATCGAGATTTCGGGAGGGTTACTTTAAGACGGCACACTTGTAATTCACAAATGTTCGACGATTAGATATTAGTAAACAAACATGTAGGTATTTGTGACTATATGTACTGTAGCAATTTTTTAATTCTGAAATTGCAACATTGTTCAAGGCTAGAAATAAAGAAACTATGGTAAAATAACATTCTATATTCTCAAAAATATTTCAGTGATACATCTTTCACTTTCGATAGGTTGGGTGGGTTGTGTGCTCACTGAAGGGAAACGGCACAAAAACAGGTTCACAAACGCAACTACCCCTTCCTTGATTACAGTCATGAGTAGGGCAAATAATGCCTATCCACCTCTTGAGGCTTGCTCCGCTGTTTGAGCAGCCTAACAAGGCACAATGTCGATGTCCAACCATCACACATGCCTTCTTTCCGCCATTATTAAGAACGATTTCAATAATTTCTAGACATAATAATGTTGATGTCGAGCCGAAGAAGAAATGCTTTAATAATCCTACAATAAATATACATGATCAAAGCATTAACTGCAATGAAACTGCGTCGTCGCCGAATCCAAGTACAATACTCCTGGGAGATTCCATCATCAAACACATCGATGAAAACAAACTCTCAAGGAAACAGAAAGTTGTATCACATTGCTACCCTGGAGCTACCATTGAGGTCATCGGCGAAACAAGCGAAAGAGTTAATCAAAGAAAAGCCTAATAAGATCATTATCAACTGTGGCACCAATAACCTGAAGAAAGAAAAAAGCAAAAAGACCAAGACTAAACTAACAAGATTAGTTCAAGATATTCGGTCCATATCACCAAAGACAACTATCGCTTTGTCGTCCATAACACATCGATCAGACGACCAGTCCCTGCATGGTAAGCTTAACCAGGTAAATAGCTGGCTGGAAACCTTTTGTAAAGAAAATAAGGTCATTTTTATTGATAATAGCAACATTAACTCGAAATGCCTAAACAGAGGTGGTTTACACCTTAACCGCAAGGGCACTATAAATCTAGCTTAAAATTTTAGACAGGCTATTCGAAATGACAAATGATCTGGAAAATCAAATGTCAGTGCTGGTGGTGCGTCTTATATTCCTCAGAGTAATCCCCTTCAGTGTAGAGACCTTAAAATGGGTCTACTAAATATAAATAGCCTTAAAAAGCATATTGATGAATTGCGCATCGCCTTAACTTACATTAATCTWGATATTCTAGCCATAAATGAAACAAAAATCTATCATTCACTGACGGATCTTTTTAATTTCTCAGTGAAAAATAATTCATTTCCTAAGGAACTGAAAACTGCTAAAGTCTGCCCTATTTTTAAATCCGGGGATAGAGACGACCCTAACAATTATCGCCCTATCTCAGTTACTCCGATGATAGCGCGAATATTTGAAAGGGCGGTATACGAACAGGTAAATTCTTACCTCTCTCTAAATAATATTCTAAATGTTCATCAGTCTGGTTTTAGAACTCTTCACTCTACTCTAACTACACTGTTGGACCTAACCAATGACTGGTGTTTCAATATCGATAATAAAATGATTAATGGTGCCATTTTCCTAGATCTTCAGAAGGCGATGATACTACACTTACTTTCTCTGACTGCACAGTAAATGAATTGACAAATCAAATGCAAACAGATCTTGMTAAAATAGCGTCCTGGCTGCGCGCAAATAAGCTGACTCTAAATGTTATCAAATCCGAATTTATGCTAATTGGCTCACGCCAGAGATTGTCTGTCCTTGATACAAGTAATGTAAGCATCTCTATCAATGGCAGCAACCTTAAGAGAGTTCAAAATACTAAATGCTTAGGTGTCTATATCGATGAACACCTGACATGGAAGACTCAAATTGGTGGGTTGCATGTGACGTTATACTCAAGCAAAAAATATCGAAAAATCCAAGATATTTTTTCTAAAGAGCTCTTCTTACTGTATATCTTAAATATACGTCTAAATAGTGTGTATGCAAATTTTCATGCGAATTCAACGCTTTGGTGGTGAAACACAAAAGTTTTAGCTTGTGCGGAGTTTAATTTATTCTACCGTAGATCGTAAATAAAAACTTCGAGATTCAGATAAATCATTCTTTCAACTCCGTAAGAACTTACTTAAAGGTGATTGTTCTTTGAAATAAAGTCATAATTGACCAAAATTTACAATGGAAACCACTTTTTAAAGTTAATTTGAAATCAGACGCCATCTTGGATGATCAAAGTTATCATCCAAGATGGCGTTCCCATACATATTAACCAAATTTTTCAAATCTTTATTCGCTTATATCTCCATCGAAAAGTAAGCTACAGGACTAAAAGCTCGTATTCTAGAWAATTTGACTRTGCKCTTTATGACTTGCTACTTGGTTTTTGAAAATAACGAATAATAACGAATGATAAATTTTCAGTTCGGGGGTTGCAACCCAAGAATACAAAAAAGGTGGCCATTGGTCTAAGCTCTTTGAAAAGTATTAAAAGACTTGTCAACACGGAGTGTCTAATCAAAGTATATAGGGCTACAAATGAACCCTACTTTGATTACTGCAGTCTAGTATGGGATAGTCTTGATGCGTCCCTTTCTAAAAAACTGCAGATTTTGCAGAATCGCGCGGCACGCCTAATCACTGGCGCACCTTACTTAACGGTAAGGACCAGTGAAGTGTTTGATATGCTGAAATGGGATACTCTCGAGGTAAAAAGACTTAAACAAAAGGCAATAATGATGTTTAAAATTGTTCATGGTTGAGCACCACCATATCTAATTGACTTATTTCCTAAAAAACAAGTGCCATTCCATGATCTTCGCGGCTCAAAGTATGATCTTAAACTTCCTAGAGTGAGAACCGATTACCTAAAAAATAGCTTTGMATTCACTKGTGCAAAGCTTTGGAACTCGCTTCCCACCCACTTAAAAGAAATTGGATCTCTTAAAAACTTTAAAGAGCAACTTGAATATCATACCTTCCAGCACTGACAAATGACTACCACATATTGTTTGTTTTTATTGAATTTGTTAAAAGAGAACATATATTTTATAGTTAAAGTTTTTATAACATTACCATGTACAATTTTTATATTTGATATAATATCTAGACGGCCTCAAGGGAGACCAATTAATTCTTGTAATTTACTGATTGAGTTACCGTGACTAATAAAGTTTGTTATTATTATTATTATTATTTTGAAGGAGTTTATGACCAATTGGAATTTAACTCTGACCATAACGCAATTCACACTTGAGATTGGCAAATTATGTATTATTACCAAATGGTTTTTCACAGCCTGAATCAACAACTTTTCCATCGGGTGAAGCAGCCAAAAATGGAGAGTTCTTCATAATAACCAAACCACATTAATGCACAGAAACTGGCCTTTCTGTTGAAAAAATGTAACTAATATTGTCATGTTCTGTATAACTAGCCGTGAACTGCTTGGGATTAATAAGATTTCCAACAAAAGTTTCGTGATTCCTTTGTCTGATTGCAACGGCTAAATGTCCAATATTTTTTCAAGACTTTGTAGTTGGATTGTTCTCTTGTTTTATGGTGTACATTGTTTATTTGTTGTTCATCAACAATGATTTGATTGATTAAGCTTTGCTGATCAGCATCAGACGAAGCAATATCATTCATAATAAAATTAGTTGGAATAAGGTAAGGGGTAAGCTGTAAGGTTGTTGTTACAGTACAATAGAGCAACAACATCTATACTGCAATAAACCTGATTCTGTGAACTTCTGCTGATAACTACCATATGATCCTGCTGGTGATTTTCATCATGAACTTTATGGTTCTTGCTGAATAACTTTATGTTTTCAGTACTACACCAAAATACTTCTAGTATCCAAATATCACCATAAAACGAATGTCAGATGGTTCAAAACTCTAATGTTAGCATTTAACGTACTTAGAAAAGTGAGATGGTCAAAGATTTGAAACTAACAGTACAATTTATAGACTTTCGGTAAACTGAAAATGGCCGCCTTCAGGCCCTAAAGCATAATGGCGCACACTGGCCCTTCAAATAGTTTGGTCTGTTGAAAGAAAACCTCAATGAATGGCAACTTATACTCTCCAAAGCCAGTTCACATCAGTAAGAAGCCAGGAAAAGTTGGATCTGCTACAAGCACTGCCACACTTTAGGAAGATTCTGCAATAGCACTAAGGTAAAATGCCATTATCCTGGACACAGTGGCGCTAAAATGAGTCTAAAATGAAAAAGATGTGGCCACGTTGCAAATGCCTAAAAAAGTCTTAGTTGCTATTGGCTCAGGTAATTTTAAGCAATACTTGTTTCCAATTTTTTATTTATTTATTTTCTCAAAGCAGAATGTCGTAACAATTCCCACTAATCACTCTTCATAGCTTAATAATATTATATGACTGAAAACGTACGTACGTGAGACTGACGTAATTAGGAGTGTTGCTTTGGTCTATGATTTGCAAAATACTAATCATTGCGCGATCATTGTTTGTAAACAAAGGTTATGTAATCACACCAAAAATTGATGCAGGTCTGAAATGGTTGTAAGCTACTGGTAAGTATCTGGTGGGAAACACCTTTTTCAAAAGGATTCAGCAATTAGATTTTAGTACCAACATAAAAAAACAGCACTGGATTAAGTCAATTAATTGGGCAAACTTCAAAGTGATAGGACATTGTTTGATTTTATTGTGATCACGTGACAATGACCCTGCAAACACAAAAACACAAAATGGCGTCCAAACAGCTTTTTACAGTCATGTGGCGTTAGTTTTGGAGACTATTCTGCGACCTGTAATTAATCTACCTTTTTTACATCATGCCTGGTGAAAATTGTTCCGTATTTGGCTGCAGATCATGCAGGAGAACGAAGGGCATTGGAAGCTACCGGCGGACAGGAACACCGATTACAAGAAGTGGAGAGAGGACTGGCTGAATGAAATATCCAAAACAAGTGTCTACTTGGAAAACTTAGCAATTTTCCGTAACCAAGAAAATTTAAAATGACTTGGCAAGGCTACCTCACCCGTTCTCATATTCCATGCACTAATACTCTTTGGGTTACTGATCATCAAAAACCACTTGGTTTTTGGATTCTTTTTGGATTTTCCTGATTTTTAAGAGCAGTTGCTTTCTTTGGTGCCTCAAAACATAAATTTCAACCTCAATTTGATGTACAAAATAAAGCCCCCAAAATGGTATTTTTACTTTCATAATCAGCAAATTTAGGGATTAGCCGTTGAAATGCATTTTTACTTTTATCGTAAATAGCATTTTCATTTGGAATAGTTAAATTCCCAAACCTTGGGCTTCCTCTTTTGGAAGGCATATTTTGCTCGGTTTTCATAAGTCTGAAATTCCGTATTTAAAAAMRTTTRTATCTCCTGTGCCATATACCCAAATCAATCCATCTTTTGTTTGCAAACAAGGAATCTATCGATCTTTTAATGTGCTAAAGACTAGCTCTGGCAAAGTACGATTTCCTATAAAAATTTCACGACATGTAGACCATGGTTTTGTAAAAACACTTCAATATGCCTTTACTTAATTGCTAAAATATTTCTTAATTTACAGGATATGACATCAAAATCTACTCAGACATGTTGCACAAAGACCGAAATATCCGTTTATACAATGTAAATGCACTAAAATGTCACGAGTTTTGCATTGTCAGTTCGTTTATAGTAGTAATTTTGACTGACCTTACAGCATATTCGAAGCAAAACATTTAACTCACCTWAAAAAATACTTTCGARTGAAATAGCAGTGTTTATCAGYTCTAAAGGTTTAATCACATCTTTAAATTAGTTCTGGAGTACTTTTCAAGCAGTCAAAYGGTCTAGGAGGGAGTTTTTAGGCATGTAGCTAGCAAAATGAAGGGTAGGTTCGACGATATTTGACACTTGATTTCCCCTCGAGAGAGTAAATTGGCTTCTTACATATCTTTAACTTCACATCGACGAAATCGTAGCCAAAAAGAATTCATTTCAAGTACTGCTTCTTTTCCTTCACAAGTTATTAGCTTTTGGTGGCTAACTTTACAGTATTTTCCGTCGAAATCTGCTGATTGCAAAAAAATAGCATAACTTTGCTGTAAATACCGCTGAGCAGTAAGTTGAATTGGCGGGAAACAGCTGTTTTTCGTACACTTTCTACTAACTGACATGTGTAATTTCTGTGAACCCTGCGGGATTGTATAGACGATTGTAATGTAGGTGATTTGTCGGCTTTACAAGAATGTTATCGTGATATTTCATATCACTTGAGATATCTTAAAGTAATGTCGGGCAGGTGCGTATCAAAATTGTAACTGTTATTAAATGTGATCCATATTTTAAACAAGTTTTCTCTGTGAACACGGTCAAAATGGTCTGAAAGCACTCAAATGTTTGTGTTTATGCGACCAATAACGCGTATTAAGTTTAGTGAAATGAGAATAAAAAGGACGGGAAGCTATATACTTACAGGTTCCAAAAAAGTGATGAATCGCATCGAATATTTTCTTTCATTTAATTTTGGAATTCAGTTATTTTAATCGTACAAATATCAACGAAACTGCTTTATCAGTTTATTGTTATTCATATTATGCTGCATGGCCGAACAAAGAAACACAAATCATTTCTAGAATCAAACACAGGAAGCCCAGCGGAAAGGGGATTTTGTATACATTCAAATTGATTGTGTTTTAACCACATTCATGAAATAAAAAATAGTATTATATACTACATTACAAGCATTTTTGAAATATTTTCAAATTTCCATAGCTTGAAAAACTGTTTTTATCATCGTGACCGCTTGGGGACGATCTGGAAAAATGGAAAAAGCACGTTTTTATCACGTTTATATTTGTCATATTCATTTCCGCTAGGGTGAAATATCT